CATCCAGTGTCTTCACCAATGGTCTGACACGACCATACAGTGTCTCTTATCCTCTTTTATTTTTATGTATTTTCTTGTTTTGTTCCTCTCTTCAAACTCAAGTTGGTTAGTTCCTATCCCCCTTGAGTTTGCGGGGGGCTGTTAGAATTTACCATAAACCTACCTCCACTACCACCTCACCTACTCCACTAAACCTAACCCACTACACCACTACCACCTCCACTTCACCTACTCCTTACCTACTACACACTCACCCTCTTCTATATATAGGAATCATGAATTATTGTAATAGATATCAATAAAAATCAATTAATAATACAATCATTTCTCTTTATACATTAAATTTTCTACAGTATGGCATGCCAGGAGAAGATATACTGAAAAAAGTATCAACTGAGAACAAAAGTGGCAAATAGATGTGGCATAGACATGAATACAACAGGACACAGTGGCGCACACATTCAAGAAAACGACAGAGAGAGCCAAGCCAGAACGCAAAAGCATAATATAGTTTTTTATTTTGTTCATACGATGTCTCATACATTTGAATGGTGCTAAAGAAAGAACATATATGGTTTCTAACATCAAAGAAAAAAATTTCTTTTCCAAATGCAATGCACAAAAATTTTGTTTCACATTCAAATTCATATTTATTCAAAGTTCTATGATCAATTTATATACCATTTTTTGTGGTAAACCGTTTTCCCAAAATTCATCACACAATGGTTAGCATTCTAAATGACACTAATAAGGATCATGTCAATTTTCCATCTTAAAGAGTTCCCTCTCATGTTGTCCCCCATGTTGCTATGTCTGACTTCTAACAAATACTATCACTAATAATTTCCCTTCATTCCTAGTTGTGGGTACATGTGTGTCTGAATTTCTTGTGACAACCTTCTCTAGATCACCCTTTCTAGATCGCCCCCTCTGGAGCTTCCTTTCCAAATCGCTCCCCCAAATAGCCTTACTTGGGCACAGCCAAAATCTCCCCAAGGGAGCAATCACCATTAGTCGATCTCCAATAAAATGGTTAGCATTCTAGATGACACTAACAAGGATCATGACAATTTTCCATCTTAACGAGTTCCCTCTCATGCTGTCCCCCATGTTGCTATGTAACAAATATTATCACTAATAATTTCCATTCATTCCTAGTTGTAAGTACATGTGTGTCTAGATTTCTTGCGACAATCTTCTCTGGATCACCCTTTCCAGATCGCCCCACCAGATCTTCCTTTTCCAAATCGCTCCCCCATATCGCCTTAC